AGACTCGTCGTCGCCGGTGTTGCAGATGATGATGGGGCGGCCTTCTCTGGCCGTCACTTGCTGGATGGCGTTCATCGTTTTCTGAAAATTACGATTTGAGATAACTTTATATCAATTGTTTGCTTAAATCGCAAATTAAGTAAGAATTTAAAAGCAAAGAAAAGTCCACAAAAATTCATATATTTATAGAAAACGCTTCGGAGACCAACTTTTTGCCGGTAAAAGGATCGCTGACCATCAACTAAAGATATGATGCGAGTTTAGGATTTATGTTGAATTTGTGAATGAATAGTTATATCTCAATTATATTCTTTGTTGAAAATTGAAAGAAGTGATATATTCTGGGTTGAAAATTGAGAATAGTGATTTTAATTGATGTTATTCTTGCGCTGCGTGTCCTATTCATAACAATTTGCTGGAATTTGAATCTGCGTTTAAAATTTCAACATCAAGATGACATGTTTAATGATAAATATAGTTTTCTTGAAGAGAAAATGTACTCAAAGGCTCAATTTTATACTAATTCTATAATTCACTAAAGAGCAAATTAACAACGAAAAATTAACAAGAAAGCACGTCATTTCAAACTTACATATGATATTAATAACGTACAGGACGAAAGCCCAAAATTTTATACGCTAGAGACTGTTTTGAGAAAAACGAAAAGTGATTAAACAATATGAAATTGATCTGAATTAAGTAATGAATGTAGAGTTGGTAAGCGTGATTGATCGAATTGATCGGTAGTCGTATCAGTCAATGCACGATAAATAGCAGCCACGAGTGAGCGCGGCCTTTATCGCATGATAAAGGCAGAAGTTTCGTATGATAAAAGCAGAAGTTTCGTATGATAAAGGTCGAAGTTTCGTATGATAAAGGCCGAAGTTTCGTATGATAAAGGCCGAAGTTTCGTATGATAAAGGCCGAAGTTTCGTATGATAAAGGCCGAAGTTTCGTATGATAAAGNCTCGAGGTTTACCCGGCACATGGACGTTTAACTTTTACGTGCAGCGAGTGTATCACTATTTGGACAGTATAACCCAATACTTTTTATGTATATTGAAGAGTCCATTTTATGTAAACGAGATACTGACCTCCTTGATCTGCTCGGGGAGTTTCTTGAGTCCTTGTATGATCTCAGAGCGCCGTGGCTGAGAAGAGATCCTGTCTTCTGCCATCATGAGGGCGAACATGACGAGGGAGATCATCTGGCTGGTGTAGGCCTTGGTGGAGGCCACGCCGATCTCAGGACCTGCGTTGATGTGCACGCCGCAGTGAGACTCGCGGCAGATGCTTGAACCCACAGTGTTGGTCACGCCAACGATGAGAGCGTTGCGTGCCTTGCAGTAACTGATCGTGACAAATATTAAATTATAGCAACAAACATTAACTGATGGCAACACTACAGTCTAGTAGCTTTATCCCCGAGTTATGTAATGAATGTACATGAATGTAAATTCAACAAGAAATACTCTCTGGTCTTCAATGAAACCTGCATTAACGAATGTAAATGTACATAGTTTCTGTGGGTATCACACTGCAATTGTTGCAATCCAGAAAGTTTCATTAAAATGTCTGGAGACGGACGAGGCTGTAAGCATAAACCTATAGCTGTAATTATAAAGTCCCGCTCTACTAGCCATACACAAAAAACGTTCTAATTCAGTCATAGAAGTCCCATCAAAGAAATATTTTGAATCGGATATAAAGCTTTAGCTAAAATTATAATGTCCCGCTCTACTACCACACACAAAAAACGTTCTAATTCAGTCCAAGAACTCTAATAAAAAAAATTGTGTCGGATGAGGTCGTACCGCAAAGCCATGAGAGTATCAGCAGTCTCGCCGGACTGTGAGAGGAAATCCTAGAATCTTATTTAAAAATATATATATTTTCAGTTAGATGAAGCCGTACCGCAGCGCCATGAGAGTATCAGCAGTCTCGCCGGACTGAGAGATGAAGAAGCAGACGTCGTCCCTGAAGATAGGCGTGTTCCTGTCGAGGAAGTCAGACGCGAGGTCGATCATGACGGGGAGCTCAGTGAGNGTTCAATGGTGGAACAATAAAATAACAATTGAATAATGGGGCAGCAATTGTGTATAAGAGAACTGAAGAAGTAAACAAAAATTCTAGGCTACAAGAAGAGTTTAGATACAGGAAAGTAACTCAGCTGCTGAGAGCTACAAAATACACGTGCATTTCAAATGAAGGAAAATACTCAACAAATACATACGAAAATTTAAGTTACATTTTTAAAACAAAAGTTACAAACAATAAATTAATTTCCGGTTCTAGTGCAGACAAGGTTATGAAAAATTGTGAACAAAATGGGATGCGTTAGACGAGATACAAGGAGAAGGCAACGACCAATACAACAAACAACAGCCGCTAATACTGAGATGAAAATTTAACGGTTCCTCCGGAAGATATGGGAACTGTCTTTTTCAATGTGCTACCTACCGTCTTTTTAGCGCATTTTCTCATTTATGGAAAAAAATGCCCTATTGTGCTCGCCATGTCCGTCTGTCTGTCCGCCCGTGACATCAAGTTTTCGTCGACGAGAAAATGCGCTCTCTGTCACTCACTGCAGTGAGTACCTTACTGAGTTATATTTTTTTAAAGAAAGTCATTTAAAAATTAAAGAAAAATGAACTACGTTTCAATGAACCGTCAAATTAAGGTATAGTACTAGAACTTTTGCCCAGTATAATAGGTTCAATCATTATAATATTTTAGACAAAGTTTTTCTTCGTTCAAGTTCTAAATGTTAAGACTGAGAAAAGCAACACTTGTTTAAATGAATTTAAACGATAATCGCGATGCCATCGATAATTTTTAATATCAATCTTCCATTTCAGATAAAAATATATGGACGTAGTCATAAGCTCACGGCAAAAACCCGAAAAAATTCGCGCAAAGTTTTGCAGTTTTTTTGCGATACCATTTTTTCGACGGATGCCATTCTTTGCAGTTACAACAAAACTGACCATTTTCCTGGAAATCCTAATTCCCAAAATATTAATTAAAACGTTACAATTGCGAAAAGTTTGTTTCAAGTTATTAAAATTGAGGAATTTCGTTGTAAATTAAAGAATTTAGAATAATACGAGATAAAAATAAAATAGTTCCACGGTTCCACATTCTCCCGGAGGAACGCAAAACTCGCGTCTCAGCGCGGCGCTTAAAAGAAAGAGGTGAACACTCAGAAAAACAAGAGGTGAACACTCAGGACGACTTGCCTCGATCACGCATGCCCATGAGACATCGGCTCCCAATGTGGCATGAATCTGTGGGAGCAGCGACATGATATGTGGCTTGTCATGATGCAGGAGCAGCGACATGATATGTTGGTTGTCATGAAGCCGGGCATGATGTATGAGCAGCGACATGATATATGGATTGTCATGATGCTGGCCATGATGTATGAGCAGCGACATGATATATGGATTGTCATGATGTAGGAGTAGCGGCATGGTATATGGATTTTCATGATGCCGGCACATGATAGTCATGGGCAAGGGAGCAAGTTAATAGGTTCAGAGAAATGACACTGAAAATGAAGCGATGATAAGGACGAAAAAAAAAGAACTCCACGGCCAAATGAAAAAAAATATAATACAACAACAGTAATAAATTATGTAGGCTGCAATGCTGCTAACACCCTGTCTCTTATACACATCTAGATGTGTATAAGAGACAGATCAACATCAGCCATAGCCCACAAACCTCACAACAACCGACCATGCAAATTTAAATTTTATTTTACAACTATTTTACATAATACAAATTTAATTGAAACTTAGAAATATTATAGAAGGCAAGGGATTGTGGCAACTCACGAGAAGATAGATGACTCTGTCGGTGTGCTCGACGATAGCAGAAGCGTCGGAGGCGAAGAAGTACTCAACCTCTTTGTCGTCACCGAGTGGGGCGAACTCTGCCGTAGAGTTGGTACGCGGCAGGCCCACGGCCTTGATGTCCGCTGACAAGTGAGTGCGCTCTGCCAGCATACGTTCAAAAGCGTTACGTACATAACGACGTTTTTGGCTTGCAACATTTTTACACTTGTGACATTTTTTCGCTTGCAACATTTTTACACTTGACATTTTTTTATTAGGTATATAACGGAATTTTTTTCGCTTGCAACGTTTTTACACTTTTGACATTTTTTCGCTTGTAACATATTTCCACTTGCGCGAGAACCTGATATATTAGAGTTATGCAATACACTTTCGCCAAAAAAGACTTGTAAACAATCATCCATTGAGGAAATTGAACTTCACTCTGCAATAAAACCTCAATTCCAAAGCCACTTTAATAAATAAAATCAATCACTCTTTAATAAACACACGCACCAGAACCAAACATCAGGGTCCATACTTTCAAAACTCGCTAAGTGAACATAAGTACTTACGCTCTATTTTCTTGTCTATGATTGGTGGATTTTGCTTGAAAATCCGTCAATGATTGGCTGATGAACTAACGATCTCTTAACTTTTTTTGAAACTATAGGCCCAGTTATAGGACATCTATCAGCACCATCACTCACCAGGAGTATCCTCTACAGGATCGCAATGCAGGGGCGTTAAGGAAGCCAAGGTTGAGCACAACAGCAGCACGGGGGAGTGGGGGGAGGGGGAGGGGAAATGTTAGCGTACAAAGTTTTATGAAGTTAGTGCAGGAGATTCTGCTGCAGCTGTTATTACAAACGGTATGAATTGTATAAAGGTTATTCAAGAATACGAAGAAAAATAAGCGAAACTTCAGGTCAGATTTATTTCTAATTCAATATCAACTTTATAGCACACAATCAGTATTAAAATTCAAGAATACATTTTTTTTAGCTAGTTATATGCATTCAGAATCAGAAAAGTTGATATGACCGGTAATCATTACACTTCTTCTCTAAAGAACTCCATATTTTTTCAAAACATTCAAGCACAAACTCAATGAGGCAAGTAAATAACCTAGACAAGTTCAAGCTTGTTAATACCAAACAAAATAAATTGTAACTTTTGGGCGGGAATTTGTGCGGGAATTGGACCAAGAATATTCATTCCAAGCAGGAATTCAAAAGCAAAGTAAATGCCGGATAATTGACCCAATTTAATTCCAGTGGAAATATAGTGATTTAACTCGGCATTTTCTGAGATGTTACTTTTTTTATTTTTCGTTTGTGCAAACTATTTATTCATTAATATTAAAGGCAAATAATAAATTGAAGACAATGACGTCTAAGATTAGGAAAAATTGACTACAGAGGAAAAGCTCAACAATAAGTTTTTATATAAAAACAATAAAAGTTAGTTA